AGGCTAAGTAATGCCCAGGGGACAATAGACCATAAGGAGCAGCGAATGCGCACGATATGGTAAACAACATTTTACGATTTACCATCATTCCAGAGTGGTTAAATCGGAATCCGCGTTTGAAACATTTCCCGACTGCTTTCTAGTTTTGTGCAAAATGTTGGTGGTATTCTATACGAACATGTCTAGTGCGTCACACATTTTTCATGTCACACAAAAATCACGAAGATAGAAATGTACATGTTGAAAGCTTTTTCGAATACCAATTGATATTCTTGCCGACATTGCAGTACATATCATTTGGTCAAACTCTACCTAAAAAGGAGGGAGTTAGTTTCACCTGTCTCCAGTGGTATACGCAGAGAATGACTGCGTCTTTTTATCCCCATAGAGTAATTTGTTTTGGGGAATAAAACCTAATCCAATTGTGTTTGTCGCTGTGTGATGCAAAATACTCACGCTTCACTGCACGAGACGAGAGAAAAAGCAAAACAATCAGATTATTTCACCCGAAATGCCGATGCGAATCTTACGATGAACGGACACTGAAAATAGATTTAAAGCCACCTATCGCCTAATAAGTCAAATTCATGTCGTAGTAAATTTCATGGCATTTTCGGCTCAGCTGTTTTTAGTGCGATATAAAAGGGTACATTTCTGGTGATCGTTTTGCTGCTAACTCCCAAGATTCACTGTGAAAAGCAACTTCAACCCTCATGTTCAAACAGAAAATGGTACAACGAATTTAGGATTTACGAATTTAGGTTTACTGGCCGTTTTCGTGATAAAAGCTTGGAGTTGTCCATCGCTTGTGCTACTACTGTTCACATCAGTGCATGTTAAACTAAAAGTGATGCACTTTGAATTATGGATTTAAATTTTTCCGTTATTCCAGTAAAAGATCAGGATATTCATGGAATGTTTCACTCACGACTTTCTACTTGGGGATTAATTTTTAGTGTGTTAGGTACTGAATCATTAAAATTAATGAGAAGCAATTGGGACTATCCTCACCAGTATCATCTTATACTGAATGACAAACTATTAACGCTTTGGACAAAGCCGATGGGATTTCTTTTGACCGTCCTGATGAGAAGAACTGCAAACGCTTTGCACTCATTCCATTGCACTAAACACAATAACCTTCGCGGTCACTACGACCCAGTGTTCACAAGTGGGACTTGGCAACCATAACCGCGGACTTGTAGTGGCGAATCATACATGACCCCACTGGCATAGGTATGAGATCGAGCCTGACGTGCCAAGTCTTATTACACAAGACGTTCATGTTGTAATAAAGCCTTTCTGGGAGGCCTTTTGATGTGACCTTACTCGATAATCAAGTAAGTACATTGATCGTAGCTGAAAATGACCGATATTTGTGATGCTGCTCAAGACAGTTTATTCGAAATTTAGCTTATGAGGAAGCGTAATTTCTCAGTGTGGGTCATTGTCACACGTATGCTGATGACGTGGTGGTCGGCTGTCCCTCGACTGTTCCTGATTGTTTCTGTCAACTTCAAGTTTGTCTAAATAACATATTTGGTTGGTCGACTTCTCGATCTTTACTGCTAAATGTAGATAAATGTGTGGATGATTCTTTTGGTCTTAAAACAGGCATGTCTTATCAAACCCTTTTGAGTAATCAGCCTGTACTTCCTGTTAATGGTAATACCATCCCCAAAGCTAACTCTGTGAAATATCTTGGAGTTACTTTATCACACAATCTTTCTTGGTCCAAACATGTTGAAAACATTTGTATTCGGGTTCGTAAGCTATCATTCTACGCCTTTAGGCTTAAAAAGCTCGGCGTTTCCTTAAATGTCATTCTCAAATTTGTGACTGCTTGCATTCTTCCACATTGGTTGTACTGTTCCCCCGTATATTTTCCTGGTCTGAAGGAGAAAGACTTTATTCTCTTTTCCAGATCTCTTAATTTTCTTTCTCGTTGCAGCGGCATTTCAAAGACCGTTTTGGTTGACTTTATTGTGAGCAAGCATTTTGACTCATGCGATCGATTTATCAGCCATATCCTGTCCAACGAAAAACACTGCCTGTACTCTCATCTCAATAAATCGGTGTCTCACCCGAGTACCCGTTCCCAATTTCGGATTCTTTGTGCACGCACCACCACATACAAAAACAGTTTGCTCCCTTATTTTGCTCCTATCTTGGTCAACCGAGCAAATATTATTATTGACCTGAACAATCATCTGTCACACGAGGCTTTTATCTAATCTGTTTGTTTTCATTTATTAAATGTAAATTTTCTTATTTTTCCAATGCTTAACGTTTTCCTCACTGTAACTTGTCGAGAATGCTGTAAATCAATCCTGTCGGGCGCATAAAGCTTTACTTGACTTGACTTGTATCACAACTGCATATTGGCATCATCGCACTGCTTAGCAATTGGATTTTGACTGCCTAATAATCAGCCGCGAGATGTGTTCTAGGAGGTGATAAAAACCTGAAAGATTTTTTATTCAAATGAAGAAAAATTCTCACATTCCTGATAGAATAATTAAACAGGATTTGCTGCATCAGCACAAAACTCTGGAAATGGGTTCATTCTACTTTCCCTGAAAGATTTTTGTGTGGATTCTTCTTTCTGTCGCTCCATCTGATTTCCCTAGTGGAGGAATGTTCACACTGGAAATGAATCATCAATTTTTAAGACAGTGAGGAGGACTCTAATGTGATGCATTTTATATTCACAGAATCTCATTCACATTTGTTTGAATATTCCACGCAGAATAGAGCGTTACCGCATTTTCTGTAACCATTTCAAGATAGAGTTTACGGCACTATTCACAATTGTTGCCATGACTAAAAATACATTTATATAACTGCTTTTCGCAGACGTCTATTCATTACTTCATAATGTAAATCGTTTTTTAAATGAAGATGAAATAATTAACACATTGTCACATAAGGGGACACTATTTGGTGTTCACTATTTTTCTTCTTAATTTCAAAAACAATGTGTAGGTTTGCACTGCTTAGTTTCATCCCACTGGATGTAAATCGTTCCGCAAAAGTCGGCAACCAGTCGCTTTGTCTCTCACCTTTGCAACTAACTCGCAACAGTGCCGCTAGATGAAGGGATATTACCGCAATCATATCAAGTGAATGATAAAAATGCATTAAATGGGACGAAAAAGATTCTGCATGTACTTCATCACGCATCTCGGAGTGGAAAACGGCGACAACAATGAATGCCGTAATCACCGGGACCTCCAATTCATTAATCATTACGGAAAACTCGAGCAGTGACGAATTGCCGAAGCTGCTCATCAGTACGCTTCGTTTATAACTGAACTTGACCCGTTTTTGCGCCTTTAGCAAATACCAGAGGGTAAACGATAGAGGTGAAGTATTTTATCGTTTTATTCTTTTTGTGTTGGGGGAGGGCTGACTGAAATGTTCGACAGAAGAGGTAACCAGTAGGGAAAAGTCTCGAATAGTCCACAACTATGCACCAAAACGATGAGTCTTAGGTGTTGCCATCAATTGCCGTTGCAGCAATTCCGTACTTCAATTATTACTCGGTTTCGATCCTTGTGTGAAAGCACCTAAAACTGTGACGCGATGGATGATACACACAGTTCCCGTATGTGAAAAGAAAAATGGACCCGGCTAATAAAACGGTTAGCGGATATGCAAAAACTAATTTTAATTTTAGATCTGTCTTGCGGTCACTTCAAACCTTACTGTCAACGTGAGTGGCCCATGAAACCAGCCCCACGCAGAAAGGTCCAAAACTTCCTTTCTTCCTTCAAGTTGCATTGAATTGTTTTGTCACCCATTCATAAGCAACATATAGCCTACTTATCTGCACATATGTTATTCATCAAGGTGTTCAGTTCTCCCTAAATCATCATGGGATGATATATATATTTTATACCAAACTTAATTTCTAACAGGATAGAAAAGGGCGAGAATACATTTATTTATTTTCCTTACCCAAGCTCAATGCTCATCACTTTTGTTTTTGATAGCGAGGAGGAATAACCAAAGTTTCACTCTTTCAAAATAAAATTAGAAAATCTTATGATTACAGTGCTCTTTTTAAATCATTTTTTCAAGGTCTTGATGGTCATCATTAGTTAGGAGGGACTATGTGGTCGGTGAAAGATTGCGTAAGACATGCTTGAGCTGTTGAAAACGAAACTGTCGGATCACCAATAATGATAGGGACAGTGGGAACTTTCATAGGGAAGTATTCTTGGTCAGTTACCCGAAGATATATGTCCACCGTCTGTTTAATCAAAGAGATTGTTATCTACATGGCTGCTCACCGTGGTGATAAGGTAAATTGCGAGTTCAATTTATTCACGCCTTGTCTGGTCAGGTCACTTAGTATACTTGATCAGGGCCTTTCTCTCCCTCTACCAGGTGTACGAACATCAATCTAAGTGCATTAAACCTCATGTCCTGGCTACTGCATATGCAACGGTAATTCCCATTCACAATCCCCTTACCTTGTGTGCCCAAAACCAATTTGTGAGGTGATTGCCTCCCATGGCCTTCCACTCACCTCATTTTTACTCACATCTTCCACTTTTGATCACATTCGACAAAATGCCATACCGGAACTAATTGACATTAGCTATATTTTTGTCAGTTTATTTAGTTTTATTTGTTCGCGCTACCACTACCCTCATTTTTCATCCGAGTTATACAAATTGCTATGCATCAGCCAAATATGACGAATCACTGAATCATTGTTCATTACCATGTATTCTACTAAAAAAACATGTATTTTGTACGTGCATGTTGGTGGCAGGAAAGGAATTTGATCTCAAAACATATAGCTATTGACAAGAGAGTCAGAAACTCTACCCTAAATACAGCTACCCAAGAAAAACAATTTGTATTCTTTTTTCCAAAGGATGTTTTCAGTCAAACTTGGTGGACTGCGTGAAATATGCGACATATAGTGAAACCTAAAACAAGCTCTTACACTACTCCTGCAATTCTGCAACAAAATTTCGGGTTGATTTTCAATGACAATTAATGATCAAACTGAAATAAACACCGAATTTAAACTCACTTTCAAGGCCCTTGCATTCGCCTGGCGGACCACGAAGTCCACGTGGCCCCGGTGGTCCTGGAATGCCGGGTATTCCTTGCGGTCCCATTGGTCCACGTGGACCCTGCGCACTTCGTACAGGGACGCGAATACGACGTTCTCGTGGTTCTATTGGATCAGCGCTTGATATGTCTGTTTCTGTCCCGGTCGATGCGCACTCGATTTGCAGACGACAATTTGTCAGTGTCATTGGTGTCGGTGGTACCATCGTGTTAAGCATGTCTGAGTTGGTATTTTGAACGGTGGCCAAAGTGGACGGGTCGGGCATGCGCTGAACCCTAACATGAGGGGCTTCGATACGGGAAACGACTGACTGGTTTCGTGCGGGTTCCGTATCGCCGGGCACAGAATTTGTAAACTGAGTTATCAGTACGAATAGCAACAGCCGTTTCAGAACTATGCTCATTTTCCTGCCAATATTTTGTGCAAATTGGATCCCTTCATGCAGTCTGACAACTTCTTCAATGCACTTTGCTCTGAACAGGAAAACAAAATAAGTCAGCAAGAGTCGTTTCTTTCCACGTTGTGACTTATAGAAGAATCTATGTTACACAATGCATATATTCTTTAATGACATGAATAACTAATTCAAAGATTGCGAATGCTTGAAACATTGCATATAACTGAAGAATCGAGGCCGCTATATGAATGGGAAGATTTGATTGGTCCAGCGTGAGGCATTCTGATTGGTTCTTGTAACTCTATCTCCGCAATTTCAGTCGATGGGTAAAACGCAACACCAACGAAAGGGGAGGGGGAGGCGTTGGTTATCCCAAATATCTCATCCCACTTCTATTTGCAAGACAATAGAGCATCCTACAAGGCAAATATTCACCGACATACCTGCGCCTTTTTATGCTTATAAGTAAGATATTTTATTCGTAGGTTAAGATCTTTTATAAGTAACATCTTTGATGTTCTGAAGAGGTTTATCTTGACAAAACTAGATTACACTGCTAGACCTCTCAATCTCATACATACTAATTGTGACAAGCTCGATTCACTTCAGTCACTTGGTCGTTATTCAATATAAAATTTATTTCTTTATTTTCCGCTTTTATTCTTAATAGGAAATTTGCTGGAGCTTGTTCATGCTTCATAGAAATTTGCCGAAATGAAATCAAACAGTCGTTATTGAAAGCTTTCTGATCATTTAATATTAGTGATATTTCTCTTCAATGCAGATTGTTTGCCCTCTCAGGAGAGTAGCGTATAAAAGAACTTTGTTTCTTAATTTATTTTTCTGGCAACAAAACGCAAGCTGCTCGATGATGTCATACAAATGCAAGATTGTGGCAATCTCTGTGTCCAATTTTGGACCAAATCTGCTGTGTCTTGGTGACTGATAGATAACTGACAAAAATGTAGAGTCTTCACTTATTTAAATATACCCACACAGTCACACATTCATCTGGATATGTCACTTTATCATCGCATCAAATAAGCAACGTACAGCTGTTTCGAACTTATTTGATCGCTGCTTGTCGTGCCATATCGCATAGCTCCAATGTGATCAAATGGCTGATGCTAAGTTTATTATTATGCTTGTGTATTACATGTGAGGTCCTGGGATTGATCCTCGATTGTGGTTACGAATTCACGCAATGCTGATGATACCTAACGAGATCGAAAAAGATTTAGAGCACATTCGGGCTTCTCATTCACGCTTCGATTGCTTTGTAAACGGCGGGTTATCATTAAGTTGCAAATTTAATCATACAAATTGATTACTTCCGAAAACCAATTTATGGTCACCCTCCTTTATGCTTTACGTGACCACGTTTTCGGATTAAATATTTCACTAAACAGTTATGACTTGGTAATTCAGAATGCTTTGAAAATTTTGTAAAATACTTCACTAATTATTTTTTTGTCGGTATTCCAAAGTATTAGATGTTGGAACCGGCCCATGGCAGATGAAATAGATGTCCAATTCCAAGGTCCGAATTAGAGATATGTGCATCAATTCGTCTTTTTGGTTCGACCAACTGGATGCATTCGATGCCTTAGTGGTCAGATAGAAAGAAAATCAAGAAGAATCAAAGAATTATTTACTCGGGTGCAGTGTGTCCTCTGTGCACTCCGGGACGTATGAATTCTTAAATAAGTACCTATTATGAAAAACTGTAGGTACATTTATCAATTATATAGCTAATTTTCTGGACTCTTCGGTAAAAAAAAACCAATATACTTGTGATTGGTTGATGCATGCATGATGACGATGACAAGCACAGTGTATTCACATCATTGCTCATTTTCAACTGTTTTTTTTTTGAACCAATTCGTTGGTATCGTAATATTTGTCGAGTTTCGAGAGCATCTGTTCACAGTGATCTATCAGTCCTCCGATGCAGTTTTTTTCACAAAATGGATTACTTTTTATTTCATGTGCTGAGAATTATCAGTTCAACTTCGTTCAGATTTATTCGTCCTAGATTTACTCCATCTGCATTTCAAACCATAGCAACTTGCCCTAATCACGACTAAGATAATCAGACTTGGTTGGTGGGTAGAGTTGGGATTAACCGATGCAGGAAATTCAATAGTAATTCCTGTTTCAACCAAACAAACACCTGGAGAAAGGGGTCCGTTTGCAATTCGAGTATGTGAATCGAAAACCCTATCGCCCGTCTTTGTTGTTATTTCAGTTCAGTTGGCACTATAAAGCTGAAGTGAAGTTGATGTAATGTTTATTGGGTTTTTCTTCAGTTGCTTTAAATTTTTTTCATGCAGGATGTTATATATATAACCTTTAAAGTTTGGTTACTATTCCTTAGTTATGGATGTTAACCTGCAATTCTAATGCAAGACCTGAGCATAGGACATAGTTGTTGTTTCACAGTCTTCCTCAACATGTGCCCTGAATTATTGGCTGCTTACGGACGATCATATTATTGTTATAGTTGTTAAACTTTCGTATTGCTTTCATCTGATCGTTTGAACCGAAACATTCACGGATTTTTCATTACTATCTCCCTGATGGAAATCGTATTTAAGTGTTCCATCGGTCATTCCCTAAGGCTATTGCATTTACCCCTAATGTAAAATTTTAATCGTCTCACTGTTGACCTATAAGAGCTTTGGTTTGTAAATATGTGCTGATGGTGTTGTCTATTTCGTGTGTGTGTATGTGTGTTTATGTGTATCAATATCGGTGAGATATGGAGTTGCGAGCACGAAAACCCATCCGCCTCTTGTTGGCGGTCCCATCCCAGTGAGCGGCAATTTGCTCAACTCACTCAAAACTTCAGGCTGAA